AGTAATTATTTATGATTCTAGCTTTGGAATTCTTACAATCATGTACCTACGAGATTTGTCATAACCTCACCGTAATAATCAAGTAAATAAAGCAATAATTTGTTTCGTATAAAATATATATTYTTTCATTTAATTTAAATATAGTAATAACTTTTATTTTTTCGGTTATGATTATATAGTTTTGTGTAAATGTATTAAAAGTTAGAACAGCAAGATACTTATATAATTAAGAGAAATATGACGTTAACTCACTTAATTGTATGACCTGGTAAGTGGAAAAAACTATTTAAGAGGACATGATACCCACATGTGTTGTCTTTCGTCTTACAAGTGCTTCAGCACACTGTGTTTAGCTTCATTAGTTTAGAATTTAGAGTTAGTTGACTTTTATAAAATTTAAAATTAAGATAATTATCTAATAAATCACTTATCTTTTTTAGATCAGTATTACTGTACGCGGATCGATGTATAATACGATAAAATGGTGTGAACGGGTTTAAACCTCGGTAACACAGAGTCTACAGAGTCCTTCACAGGGTCGCAAAAGCTGGGGATGGTCGTTTTTTCGCCAAAATATCGAGAGGTATCCCCCCGTTGGGAACTTTTTTCATTTACCRGGTGAGTCCTTGAGTCCTGGGGTAAACCAACAATGCACAATGAGATCCCTAACACCGTGATATTTGAAGCAGACCCATCAAACTCGCAGGGACGGTAGCCTACTGATGCCTACTGATGCCATTAACAGCAAACAGTTGGAGAATTTAGTTGTATTTGAAATTAATTAAGTTTCTTACACATTGATATATACATATTTACATATTTTAAACATAATTATTTACAGGAAGCAAATTCCAAAGGATGGGACTTCCAATAATCTTACCCTTGAGATTGAATGGTCTATTGGTAGATATGATCTGTTTGATCATTTCAAATATTTTAATATTATACCAAAAATGATATACATTAAATTCAAACAATTTAGTGATGACTATTTGTTTACAGAAAATAAAAATAAATATATACATGATATTTTCAAATACACAAATTTTTATGAATGTGTGTCATATGATAAAGAGTAAGACTATTTTTATATTATACACTATATACATTTTTAAACATATACATTTACATTTATATACAATTATTTACAGTAAACAGAATCCAGAATTTGCTAAACTAATGCATGAAACAATAACAAATATGTTGATATGTGCAAAATTCAATATTGTATATCAACATATAGACATATTTTATAATGAAAAAGATKTATTRWCAGAAGGTGGCTATTTTATATATAAAAATGAATATTTTCAACATTTCCGATTAATTGTTTCAAAATTAGAAAGTTTGGAACAAAATAAATATTTTGAGATTGACATGATTGTGTAAGTTCCTGATAAAAATTAATTTAAATTTAAATCACAAATAGTTTTTACATATATACATTATACTATATATATACATATATATTTTATACATTTATACATTTTATATTTACAGAAAGGGTGTTCCCAATTTGAAAGCTGTGTATACAGATATTGGTCAATATTTAAAAAAATTTAATATTGAATATCATGAAAATTTAACACATATTAATGTGATGATTCTTGGCATGTTTCGATGGATGCAAATAWATAATTATGATAGCGACTTAACCGTAAGTTATTAACATATATTATATTAAATATTTGAAAAAGTAGTATATACAGTATGTCCCAAAAGTCCCGTATCACCCTTAATATCTCCATGTAAAATCACTATATTTAAACGCGGTTTTTTTACAGTACTAAGTATGAAAATTCTGATTGAATGGCATAAAATTCATTTTTTTTTTTTTTTTTAATTCAAAAATTTTCAAAAATTTTTTTTACGCATTTAATAATTTAAAATTTTTAAGATAGCCATTTTGTTGAACATATTTTTTAAAACAGTT